ATTTTTTACAGGTCTTTTAACAATTTCGTAAATTTGCTAAAAACTATCTGGCTCTTTATTAAACATATTATTTTCTCTATTTATTAAACAAATTATTAAACATTTTATTCGCTTCTATTTCACCAAATGTTACTTGTTTTTAATTGTCTTGCTTATCAAATTTTCTTTTATTTTTTCTTTAAATCACTAAGTCTTCATCTGATATAGATATTTGTTTGATGCCTGAAAGTCTTAGTTTTGCTTTTTTAGTTTTGAGGTTCATGTTTGAATAACATTTAAGGTCATACTGTTAAATAAACCCTCAACTTGTTGTTGATAGATAACAATATAATAAATTCAATATTTGACAAATTCATATACAGTAGTAAAGGAAAAGAGTGAATTGGATTAGTAGAATTAGCAAAGTCAAGCAACTCTTGCATAAACAATAGATCTTCTGTAGCCTCTAACAAACCAAAGTTGTTAGAATTAGGTTGTTTAATGTCTGATTCTAAAAAGGTTATATAACATAATTCTTTAAGACTAGAAACTTGGTTTTGCTTTTTTTTAAACCTTATATTCAGATAGTTTTTAGCAAATTTACGAAATTGTTAAAAGACCTGTAAAAAATCCTTACATAATAAATTTTATATGTGGTCGGAACTATCATTTGATTTACCGATTTGATGATCACCCTAGTGTAACGTCAATCCCGGAATCGAGCTGACCTTCACATATAGCAATAAACTAAAAATTTACCAATCATAAGCTTTTGTTCTGCCAGAAATCTTTCAAAGAAAAAATCCATTTTTGTATAAATATTGTGCCTGCTTTATCCATTTTAACTTCATTTCACTGATTTTCTTTTCTCTTTGCATATATATATCAAGAGAAACGTCTATATTTCTTTTATAAATGGAGTCCGACACTCTAGTTTACTTCAAGGTGACTTGTACCAATGAGCCCGCAGTATTACGTCGCATTACGTTCAGAAAGATAACTGATGTCTCTTATCAAGCTTTATATTCAAAACTATCGCTACTTTTTAAGATTAACGACTTTAAAATTCATTATACGGATGAAAAAAAGGACGCCATTGCCATCGATAATGATTTTGATTTGCGAGAAGCTATAAAACACATTAAGTCCCATTCTAAGGAAGATTCTCGCCTTGTTATCCGGTTAATCTTGGAAGTAGCATCCTTTTCTACCAATCAAGAATTTCCTAATTTATCTAATTATAGTAATCCTGATACTAATCCAAGCGTAGCGCAGAATTTTGTCACCCAACCCAGCAATATGACAGAAGTTAGTAAATATAAGAGTACCCATCGTCACGACGACAACCATGCTTTCTTATCCATTCTCCACCCTCGCACTTCTTATAAATCCACAAATTATCATAACGCAATTTGTGATTACTGTGAGTCAGTAATCGTGGGCAGTCGTCATAAATGCATCAATTGTCCAGATTTTGATCTGTGTAACAATTGCATTGCTCTTGCACCAACCCAGCATCCGGGTCACACTTTTATACCGATTCATAGAACCGGTGAACTTGAAATCAAACCTTCCAATTCTATATTCCACCCTGGAATCAGATGTGATGCTTGCGGAAAAGCAATTCGTGGTGTTAGATATAAGTGTGGTAACTGCGTTGACTTTGATCTATGTGGAAATTGCGAGGCAGATCCCATCAGCAAACATGATGAAAATCACATTTTCTTAAAAATTAAGAAACCTGTGCTGAAACGACTTCGAGCAAATAAACCATTACTACATCATTTATATTCGGAGGTTGATCAAAAAATAATCCATGCTAAATATTTCAGACGATCTCGATCAAGAAATAATCAAAGTGAGATGGAATTTGTATCAAGTCAAACCACATCTAGTTCTGATTCATTGAGTTCAAACCAATTAAATTCTCTAACCAGTTCCCTTAATGGTGGAGATACTACTAGTGAATCGGCTACCAGTCGGGCACCAATCAGGCTGTATAATAGTTCTTCTTTGTCTAACTTTAATATATCACCTCCTCCCGAAAGGCTTGCACAGGAGACAGTTGAGATGGAATTTGTATCAAGTCAAACCGCATCAGTTGTATCTAGTTCTGATT